TCGTGGGGCCTGCTGGGCTCATGTTTGGGCCGTCTTGGGGCACCCTTGGAAACTTCGGGGGCTATGTTGGGACCATTTTGGAGGAGATTGATCAGATGATAGGGTGCTCCTTGATTAGGACCCTCCCCAACAGGCCAGCACGTGGCCAACACATGAATCAAATCAATGTGTGTTGGCCGTTTCGACGAGGTTTCTTGGGGCGTCGTGGATACATTTGGGGGGCCTCTTTGTGCGTGTTGGGGGTTTCGTGGGCGCCTTTTGGGGTCATCTTCGGGTTTTTTTTGGGGCCTCCTGGGGGGTTCCTGGGCACCTCTTGGGGCCGTTTGGGGGCACCCTTGGAAGCTTCGGGGGCCATCTTGGGACCACCTTGTAGGAGATCGATCAACGCACGGGCTGTTTTCAAGTAGTCGCCCCCCCTGGAGTCCAACATCTAGCCCAAATTTTTGTTTGGGCGGTGATGGTGGCTTTTTCGCCGGAGCCGTTTCAGACGCTCTGACACCTCGAGGACCCTCCCCCCCAGATCCACGGGGAGGGGGTATGGGTCAGGGGTGCACCCCTGCCCGCAGGGGAAGAGGGATGACAGAAAAGGAGCCGCTCTAAACCATCAGCACTCTAAAGGTCTGGTGGGACTTCCTTATACATCGATTCTTAGAGCGATGGAGATACGTGTGCAAGGCATTCTCTTGTAAAACGAGCGTCCAAACTCCAAGACCCTTGAACAGTTTGGAAAAAAACGCCTCAAGCGGACCTTCCGGCCTACATACCTACGTTCGTATCCGCCGACGCACGTCCATACACGCATATTGATGCGACCCTACATCATAAACACGTTTAGACATGCATTCGTGCTTACACACGTTGTATACAAACATACACACGTATGCTTTTTTTACATGTGCATACACATACGCGTTTGCACCTTTCACACAAGCGGGCATACACCAACATACCTATTTGCCTATCTACATAAACTTCCATATCTACGTACAGACATTCAAACACGTGTACACAGAATTCAATCACCGACCGCCCCCCCGAGAACCGCTCCGCCGAACTCCGTGACATCGGGCCCCCTCCCCATTGCCTCCAAGGGGCCTCAAGACGCCCAAGACGGCCCCGAGGGGCCCTCAAGATTGTCTAAGCGGAACCCGAGATGGCCACAGATCGTTCCAACGCGCCCGAGATTGTTCCAAGACGGCCCAAGAGCCCTCCAAGGCGCCCCAGGAGGCCTCCAAGAGGCTTCCCAATATGGCAGAACGAGACAACAGTTGTTGTTTTCTTCGATGGGGTTTTGAAGGTTTTTTGGGGTTCTCGCCAATTCAGCTTCCCGACGCTGCAAGACGGCCCCAGGGGCCCCCAAGGTCGCCCCAAGACGACCGAAGAGGCCCCCAAGCCGGCCCCAAGATGGCTTACAAGGCAGCCCCCAAAGCGCCCCAGGACGGCCCAAGAGGGCCTCAAGAGAGGTCCCCAAAGGGTTCCAACAGGACCCCTGCCCCAAGAAGGCCTGGAGACGCTAAATAGCAGAGGTTCACAATAGCTCACATTGACGTGGCAAGCTCGTCACACCAGGACTCTCAAGAGCGTGGGGTGACGTAAACAACTCTTAATGCCAAGGCTCCCGGGAGCGAACGGTGACGTAACAAGCTCTGAACACCAATTATCCCAGTGCGACCCTACCTAGGAGTTGGAGCCCCCATGGAAGCAGCATTGGTAGTAACACTAAAGTTAAGCTCAAGCTAAACTAAAGCTAAGCTAAAGCTAAGTTAACGCTAAGCTAAAACTTAGCGAACGCTAAGCTGAAGCTAAGCTAAAGCTAAGCTAAATATAAGCTAACGCTAAGCTAAAGCTAAGCTAAAGCTACGCTAATTCTAAGCTAAAGCTAAGGTACAGCTAAGCTAAAGCGAAGGTAAAGCTAAGCTAAAGCTAAGCTACATCTGAGCTAAAGCTAAGCTGCAGCTAAGATAAAGCTAAGCGAAAGCTAAACGAACGTTAAGCTAAAGCTAACATATAGATAAGATGTAACTAAGCTAAAGCTAAGGTAAAGCTAAGCTAAAGCTTCGCTAAATCTAAGCTAAAGCGAAGGTAAAGCTAAGCTAACGCTAATTAAGCTACAGCTAAGCTGACGCTAAGCTACAGCTAAGCTAAAGCTAAGCTAAATCTAAATAATATATGCTATACTAAGCTATACTATGCTGTGCTATGCCATGCTTTGCTATGCTATGCTAAGCTAAGCTACATTAGGCTAAGCTCAGCTAAGCCAAGCTAAGGTAAGCCAAGCTAAGCTAAGCTAAGCTAAGCTAAGCCAAGCCAAGCGAAGCCAAGCTAAGCTAAGACGAGATACGCTAAGCCAAGCTAAGGGGGCGCTATGCTAAGCTATGCTAAGCTATGCTATGCAATGATGTGCTATGCTGTGCTATGCTATGCCATGCTATGCTATGCTACGCTAAGCTAAGCTACATTAGGCTAAGCTAAGCTAGGCTAAGCTAAGCTAAACTAAGGTAAGCCAAACTAAGCTAAGCTAAGCTAAGCCAAGCTAAGCTAAGCCAAGCTAAGCTAAGACGAGATAAGCTAAGCCAAGCTAAGGGGGCGCGACTGGGGGAACCGCGGGGCGGGGACTGGGGGAACCGCCCGGGGCGTGTAGCACTGCCCGGCCCCTTTAAGCTAGAGAGTAAGAACCCTTCTAGGCAGAGCCTAGGTAGGGAATGATTCCAAAATCTCACAGTGACGTGACAAGCTCTTAACACCAAGCTTCCCAAGAGCGAACGGTGCCGTCGTGATCTCTGTCTGCCAAGGTTCCGAAGAGCGAGCGTTGACGTAAAAAGCCCTGACCACCATGGCTCCCAAGAGCCCGTAGTGACGTGATGAGCTGTTCACACCAAGGCTCCCGAGGGCGAGTGGTGACATAACAAGCTCTGACCGCCAAGGTTCCCAAGAGCTTACAGTGTCGTGACAAGCTCTGAACACAAATGATCTCAAGGGCGAGCAGTAAGAGCACAAGCTCTTAACATCAAGGTCCCAAGAGCGAATGGTGCCCTGAGCCATCTCGGGCAAACTTCCGTTCCCGTGCCAGCCCAGGTTACGGAAAAAGCGAGACACGAGTGATGACGCGTTGGTGGGGCGCAGCCTTCCAGGGAGGGGTTCCAAGGGAGGGGCGCAGGGCGCTCGGCCTCAAGACGGTTTCACAGGACCCCGAAACAGTGCAAGAGGCCCCCAAGAGGCCCCCCGAGAGGGTCTGAGGAGGCCAAGGACATTGATTTTCCATTAGTTTGTGTAGGTTTCCGGCTTGTCACCTTTTCGGGCCAAAAACGGCCCAAGACGGCCCAAGAGGCTCCAGAGATCGCCCCAAGACGGCGCAAGAGGGCCCCCAAGATGGCTCCAAGTCGGCCCAAGAGAGCCCCATGACGGCCCACGAGGGCCCAAAGAGGGGCCCAGAGGGGCCTTGGAGGCTTCCAGGAGACGGCCCAGAGGGCCAGGGGAGGCCGCCACGAGGGCCAAAGCGGGCTCGGAGATAGCCCGAAGACGGCCCAAGTTCCCAATGACGGCTCAAGAGGCTCCCGAGACAGACCGCAAAAAAAACAAACAAACAAAAAAAAAGAAAGAAAACAAAAGGATTGCAACAAACAAACGATTGCAACAAAAAACCTTTTTTGCAATCCTTTGTTTTTTTGCAATCCTTGGTTTTTTTGTTTTTTTTGCGAGCCTCCCCAGAGGACCCTTCAGACAGCCCCAGGAGGCAAAACACACTGACTGTCCATATGTTTTCTGCTGTTTTTTGGGTGGTCGCCGTTTGGGCCAAGGTCGGCCGAAGGCGGCTCCGAGGGCCCCCGCGACTGCCGCAAGACGGCCCTGGAGGCGCCCAAGAGGGCCCGAGCACGGCTCGAGAGGCCCCCGGGACGGCCACCGAGAGCCCCGAGCGGGTCCCTGGAGGGCCCCAGGAGGCTCCCAGGAGAGCCCAAGGGTGGCACAGGAGGCCCCGAAGAGTGCCCAAGAGGGCGCCAAGAGGGCCCCAAGCCGACGGAGGCCCTCCAAGAAGATCCCTGTGGCTCCGACGGTGGCCCACGAGGCTGTCAAGATGACCCCCGAGACGGCCTAAGGACGCCCAAACTTCGATATCCCCAGGATTATCCCCAGGGTGTTTGTAGAGTTGTAAGGTTCTCGCCTGAGGAGCCGGAAAACCTTACTGCTCCTAAGGTTTTGGCAGGTTTTCACCACTCTCGCCATTTCGGGCACCCGTCGGCCCCCAAGATCGCCGCAAGACGGCTCAAGACGGCCCCCAAGAGGACCCCAGAGGGCCCCAAGACGGCCCGAGAAGGTTCCCAGAGGCTCCCAGGAGAGCCCCACGCGGGTCCAGAGGCCCCCAACGGCATCGAACGAAGCGCCACGACAGCCCCAGCCTTCCAAGACGCCCTGAGACGGCCCAGAGGGGCCCCAAGAGCGGGCTGCAAAGGGCTCGAACTGGACCCCCAAGGGGGCCAGGAGACTCTTATCACCAGGGCTCCCAACGAGCGAGCGGTGACACAACAAGCTCTGAACACCAAGGCTCCGAAGAGCCCACGACGACGTGACAATCTCTGAACACTAAGGCTTCCAGGAGCGAGCGGTGCCGTTGTAAGCTCTGACCACCAGGCTCCTAAGAGCGAGCAGTGACGTAAAAAGCTCAGATCACCAAGCATTTTCAAACACCCGTAGTATCGTGATAAGCTCTTAACACCCACGCTCTCAAGAGCGAGCGGTGACGTATCAAGCTCTGAACACCAAGTATGTTCAACAGCTCGGTGTAACGTGATAAGCTCTTGACACCCACGCTTACAAAAGCGAGCAGTGTCGTAAGAAGCTCTGAACACCAAGGCTCCCAGGAGCCCACAATGAGGTGACACACTCTTCACACAAAATTCCCAAGGGCGAGCGGTAATTGATGCGGTCTCAGGCAAGTTCCTGAAGCGATCTTTCCGTTTCAGTGCTGGCCCAGGTCTAACACGCCGTTTGCTTGTTGGGCTGGCGAGTCTGCTACTACGTGTGGCGTAGGAGCCGCAACAGCCAGCCTAGACATGTTTGGAGTGCTCGAGCGTGCGGGGCACATCGACGTTGCCATGCTGCAGGTCTCTATGGGTGACTTGTCGTATGAGGTGCGGAACGCGACGCAGCGTTCAGAACGGTTGCCTCTTGGCTGGCTGTCTTCACGCCAGCATCGAGCAGTGACAGCTGTTGCGACACCATCGCCGACCACCTGTGTAGACACAAGCAACGGTGCTACGAACAGAATGGGCAACTCGTGCGAAGCCTACTCGCACGACTCTGAACAGCCATTCGTGGGCATTTGCTTCGACCCTTATTTAATCGCTTCGCTCATTCCGCCAGCCCATATTGGTGCACGGCTGTCGATTGCCTCAGTGATCGGAGTAACTGCGGCTGATGGGTTTGGTTGTTGGTCATGGATGGTCGGCTTGTGGCGACCTTGCCGGGAGGAGCCATTTTTTGCATGCCTGAGCCGTCTTATCTGGAAGGTGGCGGTTCGTGAAATTTTATCGCAGGAAACAAGAAAACAGTTTGCAGTTTCCTTGTCCTCTGAATTTCCTCCTTCCGTTGCTATGTGTAATCGTGCGTGTGTGTTGGGGAGGGGGCGGGCGGGGGGGTTGGGGTAGGGGGGTAGAGGCGCGAGCGTGGAAAGTGTGGGTGGCAGGAGGAGGAGGAGGGGGGGGAGGTGGGGGAGGAGGAGGCGGAGGGAGCAGAGGGTTTGGGGTGAGAGAGGTTGTTCATTTGGGCGATTGCTTGGAGGAGCAGGATGAGTAGCGGCGTAGGGCGGCGGGGAAGATCTCTTGGGAGGCCCTCGGCGGTCTCTTCGCGGTATTTGTGGGTCCTCCTGGGGCTTCACGGCGCTTCACCGCAGTCAGCGTTGTTGGGGTGTCTCGGGAGCCTCTTAGAGGCAGTTTTGAAGCCTCGTGACGGTCTCTTGGGGGGCTTTCGGCGGGCTCTTGGCGGTATTTGTTGGTCCTTTTGGGGCCTGGGGCCTGACGTTGTTGGTCCTCTTGGGGCCTCACGGGAGCTTATTGGGGCGTCTTGGGAGTGTCTTGGAGAGTCTCTTGGGGTCTCTTTCGGGGTCCTGGGCGCCTTCTGGGGCGGAGGGCTCGATTTTTCAGTTCTCGGTTCCCTTCTTGAGCCCCTCTTGGGCCCGTCTTGGGGCCTCTTGGTCCGCCTTGGGCGGCACTTGGGCCGTCTGGGGGGCGCTCTTGGGCCGCTCCGGGGCCGTCTTGGGAGCCTCGTGGGCCGTCTTGGAGCAGTCTTGAAGGCCTCTTGGGCCCTCTTGGAGCGTCCGGAAGCCAAAAGGCCAGAACGCAAAAAACATAAAAAACAATGAAAATCAACGATTTTGGCGACTTGGGGCCCTCTTCGGAGGCCTCTTGGAAGGCCCTTGGAGCGTCTTGGAGGCCTCTTGGGCTGTCTTGGGGCCATCTGGGGCGTCTTCGGGCGATCTTTGGCCGTCTCGGGCCTCTCGTGGACCGTCTAGAAAGCTTCTCGGGGCCCTCTTGGACCGATCTGGAGCCCTCTTGGCTCCGAAACAGAACTCCGGCATCTCTGACCCGACCTTGCCAGGGACTTGCCGGGGACTTGCCGGGACCTTGCCGGGGTACTTTTCGTCCCGGGACCCCCAGGGGCCGCCCCGCGCGCGCGAACTAGAAATACTGTTAACCAGGTACCAGAGATCTTAGCGCGCCCTGGCCCGTTGGGCCGGCGAATTATGACGATGAAGACTTCTCCTCATACATGTGTTGCGTGTGTCCAGAGGAGTGTCCCGCACACGACCGTCCCATCAATGCAGTTTGTGAGGACTGGATCGAGTTTACGGGCGCGAGCGGCGATGCCATGGGGAGGACATCGCACTCAAACCTTGCTGGACTGGGTCCTGACTTTGGCAGGCCGAAGGAGCTCAGATATTTTGGAGTCGGACAACTTGCAAACGGGATACACATCGATATGGTGTTCGTCAACACATCCTCTTATGTCCCGAGGAATACGAATTGGAACCAGATTTCTGGGTCTCAGGCAACTGTGAACCTGCTCATCGGGGAATATGTGAACCTCAAGGCGGAATTTGTGAGAAACCATACCTTCTGCCCTGAGACGCCATACCTGCCAAAGATTACGTTCTGTGACATTGACCACTACAAGGATGGGGAGAACGAGATCTTATCGAGCGCGCTTCGCGAACAACGCCCGAACCTTTCACTTTGACCGTCGCTTCCGACGACCCCAGAAGATGTCCATGTTTAGACCGTCCAAGATTGTCGTCTCCGTCACTGGCCGACAGTGTCCATACCGGGGCCCCAAGAGAACCTTGGCGTTTAGGGTTTCAATGTTGGGTCTAGCGGGCGCCCAGAAAACCTCCAGGTGGCCTAACATGGCCACGAGTGTCAGAAGGTGTTCCCGAACAATTCCAAGAGCGCCCCAAGGTCGCCAAGGCAATTGCCAAGCCCACTGTTTCAAGACGGGCCACAACAGAGTCTCACGGAGATTCTTGAACAGTAGTTTTAGTCATGAGCTCAAGATGTCAGACTGTCGCGCAAACGATCGTGGATCCGTTTCTGGTGCCGTCATGGGCCACAGGTGCTTTTGCAAGTTGGCTACATGTTTCAGAATATGTTGATCCATCTCAGATACCAATTTGTAGAGCATATTCGGAACCGAGCTCTTCCACATTGGTGGGGGAGCTTCCAGGACGATCCTGGATACGCCAACCACATTTGGCACGCATGTTAGTTTCCACCCTTGGCTTTTGTGTTTTGCACTTGCGGTTAATGATTCGCTTGCCGAGTTCAGAGGGTTCATGAAGAATTGATACGTCGAATAAGTGCCCGATCGGAGCTCACACGCGACGATCTGTAGAGATCATGCTTGGAGGTCGCTGCGTCGACATCGAGCCAACATTGGCCCTGGACCCGATCTGGAGCGATTCTGACTTTGACGCTGCGTTGGGCGCCCCAAGTCGAGACGATCTTGGTCGACACCAGCCTTGAGAGCAGTCGTTTTGGAATGCGTGGTGCCCCCGAGTGACAAGGGGGGGGGGGGAAAGCCTTAGCTGAAGCGCTCAAATCAAAAGTGTACGCGCGCCTCAGCTTGGTCATCTGCGAATTCCAGACGCACCGTTCTGACCGCCTGCCTTTCCCTTTTCCGTAGCAACTTGGGGCGACCTAGGAGCAGACCCAAACGATTGCCAGTTGGGCCAGGGTTGCCCATCATTTGTTCGAGAAGGTCGTCGCTATCCAAGACGGGCCTCGAGGGGTGGGCAGGTCCCCAGATAGCTCGAAGAACACCCCATGCGGGATTCGGAGGGCAACGGGGGGGGGTAAACACGGTAACCACGGAGCAGCATGACGAAATGCGCAGCTCGGTAGTAGGGTTGGGTGAGTTCCTAGGATTCCTAGTGGGGAGCTTCAGGGCGGGTTCCTGGGAATGCTCATGGGGATTCTTGGCTCTTAGGTACGGTTCCCGTGGAGGCTTCATTTGATATTCTTGGGCAAGTCTTTGGAGAGAATGACTAGGGTTGTTCCTGGGACAGATCTTTGAGTCGGGACCTGGGGGAAGGGCTACTTAGGATGGTTTTGGGTTGCATTCCCAGCGAAGCTCCTTGGGATGAAGCCTGGCAGTGTTTTTGTTCTGCTCCTATTGAGAGGGCCAATACGGCTTCGATTCTGGCCAGGGCTCCATCCAGACATCCTTCCAGGCATCCAGACGTATACGAGTTTCTCTTCAGAGCCCCATGATGTTCATGTATCATTTGGGGGCCTCAGGCTGCCTCAACCATGCATTTCAGCGATGTTCCATCTAATGTGACATGCCATGGCCCCCTTGGGCAAGCGAAGCTCTCGACGGTGTCAGTGCAGTCTACACGGTCGACGATGACATCGATTTTGATTTGGACTTGTACGAATTCAATACTCTCATGGGTGGAAACCCAGTTCCATTGACATATGCAACATCCTCCATCCAGACATCGATTCCGGGCAGGTCTTCCAGGAAGTACGTCTCCAGTTCTGGCGAAAAGTTTGCGATCTTGGCAACCTCGCGGATGTTCGGCCACGGCTGCGACAACCCGCAAAACCAAAACCAGCTGACCAACATCACCTGCCCAGACGCGTCGGCCGCGACCGTGGACCAGGCAAAGCGATGCTTCATGGTCGAGTTCTCCAACGTCAGCGAGTTCTTCGTCTCGTTCAGGATCTTGACGGACAAACCCCGCAATTACATCTCGAAGAAGGAAACATGCATGACTATATACACCTTCGGAGCTCCGCGCGGCTTTCTTTGGTCGGCGCTGGGTCTCGCTGGCGCGCCATCAAAGAAACCCACGCGTACCCCCGAAATTTCATGTTTGAGCTGTTGTTTCTTCTTCTAGCGTCCAGACTTACGGCCGCAATTTCGCCATGGCCGGGACTTCTTTGTTCTTCGCCGACGAGTTGAGCCAGACTTGTTTCTCGCCTACAGTTGCACCCACCTCGACACCGACTCCCTCTCCGACAGCGGCCCCGACATTTGCGCCAACTGCTGCTCCGACTTCAACACCAACGATGGCACCGACTGGTTCCCCGACAGCTGCGCCGACTGCGGCACCAACAGCCGCGCCGACAGCCGCGCCGACTGCGCGGCCGACCGCTGCGCCAACAGCGACACCGACAGCGGCGCCGACACCTGCGCCGACAGCGGCCCCGACTGCGGCACCGACAGCTGCGCCGACTGCTGCACCAACCATGGCGCCGACAGCCGCGCCGACAGCGGCGCCGACGGCCGCACCAACTGCGGCACCGACAGCTGCGCCGACTGCGGCACCGACTGCTTCGCCGACAGCGGCGCCGACGGCTGCGCCGACAGCTGCGCCGACGGCTGGTCCGACGAGGAACCCGACCAGTTCGCCGACAGCTGCGCCGACTGCAGCACCGACAGCTGCGCCGACTGCAGCACCGACAGCTGCGCCGACTGCGGCACCGACTGCTTCGCCCACAGCGGCGCCGACGGGTGCGCCGACAGCTGCGCCGACGGCTGCTCCGACGAGGGCCCCGACCAGTTCGCCGACAGCTGCGCCGACTGCTGCACCGACAGCTGCGCCGACTGCGGCACCGACGGCCGCACCAACTGCGGCGCCGACGGCTGCGCCGACAGCTGCGCCGACGGCTGCTCCGACTGCGGCGCCGACAGCTGCGCCGACTGCTGCACCAACCATGGCGCCGACAGCCGCGCCGACAGCGGCGCCGACGGCCGCACCAACTGCGGCACCGACAGCTGCGCCGACTGCGGCACCGACTGCTTCGCCGACAGCGGCGCCGACGGCTGCGCCGACAGCTGCGCCGACGGCTGCTCCGACGAGGGCCCCGACCAGTGCGCCGACAGCTGCGCCGACTGCAGCACCGACAGCTGCGCCGACTACGGCACCGACTGCTTCGCCGACACCTGCGCCAACTTCGATGCGGGTGAGCGCGTCAGGCGATCCGCATCTGGTGAATGTGCGAGGGCAGCATTTCGACGTGATGAAGCCTGGAGCCCACGTCCTCCTCCTCGTGCCCTTCAAGGCGCGTCCGCTGACGACGCTCCTTCGCGTGGATGCCGACGCGCGGCAGGTGGGTGGCGCTTGCGCGGACACGTACTTCATGAGCGTCAACATCACTGGGAAATGGGCAGAGGCCAAACTCCACAGTCACAGGCAAGGTAGTGGTCACGGCCTGATGTTCAGCGCAGGCACTGGGGCATCCCACACAGGCACAAAGTGGATGTCTTTCGGGAAGATTGCCCTGAAGGTGGTCCATGGCCGCACCGACGAGGGTATAGCATACCTTAATTTTTTCGCTCGCAATCTGAGGGGAGCGGGATACCCCATTGGAGGGCTCCTGGGGGAGGACGATCACAGCGAAGCCACCACCCCTAGGAGGGAGTGCAGACGCGTGTTTGACGTCTAGTTTGTACATCCAGTGCACGGTGTTTGGCCGTGACGATACAATGAAGTTAGAGCCGTTTTGTGAAAACATCAGGATGGTAGACGGTACAGCTCTCTGCCGCCGGCCCCCCAGGCTGAGCTTTCGTGCGTGCTGTTTTTACCAGATGGTCGAGGATGCTCCTCGAAGGTCCTCGCCGAGAAAGAATATGCACACGTCCGAGCGATGCCAAGCTGTCAACAACAGCGTGCGTTCAATGTTGTTTGCCTGTCCCGCGTTTTGCTCCCAATGCGTGGTGTCCGCAACAGCGCTTCGTGGCCGCATAGGGAGCTCCACCGGAGGCCCCAGTGAGGGTGCCCGCATGTCTGCCACACCCAGTACAGCGTTTCGTGGCCCCATAGAGAGCTCCACCAGAGGCCCCAGTGGGGGTGCCCGCAAGCGTCTGCCACACCCAGCACAGCGTTTCGTGGCCCCATAAGGAGCTCCACCGGAGGCCCCAGGGGGGGTATCCGCATGCGTCCGCCACACCCAGTACAGCGTTTCGTGGCCCCATAGAGAGCTCCACCAGAGGCCCCAGTGGGGGTGCCCGCATGCGTCCGCCTCACTCAGTACAGCGTTTCGTGGCGGAATAGGAAGCTCCACCTAAGGCCCCAGCGGGGGTGCATGCGTCTTCCGCACCCAGTACAGCGCTTCGTGGCCCCATAGGGAACTCCACCGAAGGCCCCAGTGAGGGTGCCCGCATGCGCCCGCCACACCCAGTGCAGCATTTCGTGGTCCCGTAGGAAGCTCCACCGAAGGCCCCAGTGGGGGTGCCCGCATGCGCCCGCCATTCCAAGCACAGCGTCCTCGTGGCCCCATAAGGAGCTCCACCTAAGGCCCCAGGGGGGGGGTCCGCATGCGTCTGCCAACGTGATTCCCTGGTGCATTAATTTAGAGGACGAAAAGGTGCCAGTACTGCTTCCCTTGAGTTTGTTCTTGCCTTTTGTGAACCGCCTCGCAACTTTGGGCAACTCGCACCCCGGGAGAGCGTCTCGGATTGCCTATAGACCCACCGAAGAATGTTATACGAACCTTTATTGGCTAGCAGGAGCTACCGCATAGACCACCCTTCGGGTGATAAGGAGGTGAGGGGGGGGAGGGACCACCGTCGCACTCGATCGATCTCACTGTCGATCTCACAATCGATCTCATGATCGATCTCATTTGATCGATCTCACAATCGATTTGGCTATCGATCTCACAATCGATCTCACTATCGATCTCACTATCGATCCCACTATCGATCTCACATTCGCTCCAACTATCGATTTCACTATCGATCTCACAATCGATCTCACAATCGATCTCACATTCGGTCTCAGTATCGATATCACCATCGATATCATTCGATCGATCTCACAATCGATTTCACTATCGATCTCACAATCGATATCACAATCGATCTCACAATCGATATCAAAATCGATCTGACTATCGCTCTCACTATAGAACTCACCATCGAAGTCATTATCGATCTCTCGTTCGGTCTCACTATCGATCAAACAATCGATATCACAATCAATATCACAATCGATCTCACATTCGGTCTCACTATCGATGTCACTATCGAAATCACGATCGATCTCATTATCGATATCACAATCGGTCTCACTATCGATCTCACTATCGATATCGCAATCGATCTCACAATCGATCTCACATTCGCAACATCATCATCATCATCATCAGCATCACCATCATCAGCATCATCGGGACACCACCATCACCATCATCATCAGCAGCACCATCATCATCATCATCATCGTCATCATCTTCATCATCATCATCATCATTATCATCATCATCATCATCATCATCATCATCATCATCATCATCATCATCATCATCATCATCATCATCATCATCATCATCATCATCATCATCATCATCATCATCGGGACACCGACGGGGCGGGACACCGGCGGGACACCGGCGGGACACCGCGGGGCCCCGGCCGCCCGGAAGGGAGACATTTGGTCCGGCCGCGCCTCAGCCACACGGGACACCAGCGGGACACCGGCGGGACACCGCGGGGCCCCGGCCGCCCGGAAGCGAGTCATTTGGTCCGGCCGCGCCTCAGCCACAGGAGACTTTCTCTCGCCCGCCCACGCAGCTTCGCCTCGCCCGCACGGCACGCGCGAACACGAAACCGAAATCGATTTCCCGGTAGGGGGCTCTCCGTTCCACTTCGATCTCGCCCCCTCACCTCCGATGTCTGATAACATTTCTGGCTGAGGCCGTTTTGTCATAACGCATCGGCTTGGCGTTCTATGAGCACTGTTCTGGCTATAAGGACATGTTTTGGTTGTACGAAATGTTTGTGGCAGGCCTGTAGGGATGCCAGGGCTGTCGATCCCTGTGTAGTATTGGTGTCCTCACTAATGTCCGTGTGTTGCTTTCTTGCTCTCACAGCGGCGTCCAGGTCCAAGAGGCTTCCAGTCACCCCCCACCAAACCACCCCAACCCAACCCGAAGGCCTCCATTTGCCCTCCTTTCCAGTGTGGGGGGGTCCGGGAACATCGAAAAACACATACGGAGCCCGTACCCCCCCCCCCAACCCGAAATTCGGGTCTTCGGGTTGAGTTGGGGGAGTCTGGCAGGTAGTCATCCAGGCGTCACCAGTGGCGCCCTCGACTGCTTCCAGGCCGCCCCTGCATGGCTTTTGACGCAGCCCGTGGCCCTCGTTGGGCTCCGAAGGCGCCTTTGGGGGCAGCAGAGGCCGGCCTTCCAGCGCTCGTGCAGCATTTTGGACGTGTCCAGCCTTTGCATCGCTCGGGCGTGTGCATTTTTCCTTCGGCGAGGACCATCGAGGAGCATCCTTGATCATTTGGCGAAATATGCGAAACCAACAAAAAACACACGGAATGGACGTCCGAGCGATCAGCAGCTGCCCGCGGCAATCTCCACCACCGCGCCAGCGCAGGGCCTCGTGTGGCGACGTTCTGGGCACTGTGCAGAAGGCTACAGCATGTGGCGCCGTTGTTCTCCTCTCTTCGACTGGGGCTCTCGTAGGGCCCGTCTGTGGCCCCTTTGGGCTGTCCTTCCTGGGGCCTTCTTGGGCTGCCTGGGGGGCCCTGCTGCCGACGCTTCGCGCAACCCCAGCCCATCCGGAAACGATGATCATGCCCGACGGTTGCCCTGATCAGGCATGTGGAGGAGCAGGGGAAGAAGAGGGACGGGGAGGTGGTGGGACGATGCCATGGGCGAGGTGCCGTTGTCTGATTACTGGCCTCTCTACCCTAGGGTCTTTACCCAGGGATGCTTAGGTGAGGGCAAATGGAGGGAGGAGGGAGGAGGGGGGAGGAGGGTTCTCCTCGGAGGCCCACGAGGCAGAACAGAGGGAACCCGCGCTCCTTGGGGCCCGCTTCGGGCGCCCGATGGGGCCTCTTGACGGGGCCTCTTGGAGCCAGAATAGGTTTGCTTTGCCCAGAGGTCGTGCAAGCCCGCCTACTCCGCCCTACGAATACGCCGCGCAGTCGTACCAGTACGTGTACGCAGTCGTACTCGTACGACGGACCTGGCACGCCGCCGTCGTTTGTGTACGCCTACATCGCCCGACTAGTACGCCCTGCGAGATCGTCGTAGTATACCTACTTCGCCCTTCTATTACGCCGCGCGGTGGTGCTTCAACGCTTGCGTGGTCGTACTTGTACGGTCGACTTTGGACGCCGCCGTCGTACTCGTACGCATACATCGCCCAACTAGTACGCCCTGCGAGATCACACTGTATGACCCCGCGGTTCGTACTAGTTCTTACTTAGAACCGCCTGTTCGCGGGTCGTACTAATGGGGCCCCCAGGTCGTACCAGTAGGCGTACTTGGGCCCTAGTGGTAGGACTCCGCCTAGTCGTGCTACTAGGCCGGTGCAGGCCTACTCTTACGACCCGCCAGGATAACCAAACCCCCTCTCCAGAATAGTGTCCGGGGCACCGCGGGGTAGCCTCTCGGGGCCTCTTGGCTCTCTTGGGAGCCTCTTCGGGACCTTTTGGGGGCCTCTTGGGGCCTTCTGGGCGCCTCTTGGGCAATTATCGCGAGCTCCTAAGCTCGCCTCTTGGACCCCTCTTTGGAGCGATCTTGGGGCGCTCTTGGATCCGTCTTGGGGGTCTATTGGGCCATCTTGGAGAGGCCTCGGATGGCCATCAGAAGCGAAAGGGCAAGAACGCAACCATCGCTGATTTCGCGGAAGTGCTGCAAGGATTTTTGCTTTCTGGGGGCCGCCAGGCCGCCTGAAGAGGCCGCCTGTTGCAAGCCCGGTACCGCGCCAGCGCATCCATGCAGCGTGACACAGGCCGGAGGGCTAAACCTCCCAGGGAAGCCTCTAGGGAAACCTCAATGAAAGAACCCTTAGGATAACCTCTAGTGAAACCATTGGATAAAGAACCTCTGGGCTTTGGGGGCGCGCTCGTTAAAAGGGCTGTGCCCATGATGCTTCAGACCCTGCAGGACTCATCATCTGATGAGGGCGGTGGGGGTATCAATGGCCAAGCTTCCATGGATGTTCCACCAGCTATCAGACCCTGGATTCCTCACCCAAGGGCTCCTTGTGCAATGTCCTGACGGTACCAGTTTGAAGACGAGCATGTTGACTCTCTCTGTACAGTGCCGTTTTTAATACATACTCCGCGTGCGGATCATGTATTAACACATGCAGGGGTTTAGTATTAAAAACAACGGTGAGTTCATGCATAAACTTATTCCTAAATTAACCATGTATTAAACATCCGATATGTTTTGAACATCCTTTGTATTAAACACTGCCCTCACGCGGCAGAGGCAGCCCGCACGCGCCTCCGGGCAACCCGGGCTGCGGTGACGCGATCTGGCCCGCATGCACGAGGAGGGGACACGCCGAGGGGCGGCCGCAGAGACAGGAGGCGAGGATGAGGAGGGGGAGGCAGGAGGAGGAGGAGGAGGAGGAGGAGGAGGAGGAGGAGGAGGCAGGAGGAGGAGGAGGAGGAGGAGGAGGAGGAGGAGGAGGAGGAGGCAGGAGGAGGAGGAGGAGGAGGCAGGAGGAGGAGGAGGAGGAGGAGGCAGGAGGCAGGAGGAGGAGGAGGAGCTCGAGCAGGAGGAGGAGGGGGAGGGCAGGGCTCACTCGCGCGGCGAGGCCGCAGGAGGGGGGGGGCGCGCGGGGGAGCCGTCGAGTGCGCCCCGGCGCCACGCAGTGCGGCGCCCGGGGGCTGCCGGGGGCCGCCGACGGGGCCGCCCGAGGCCTCCGAGGGAAGCCGCCGCGGCCCGCCGACGGGGCCGCCCGAAGGCCTCCGAAGTCCGAAGGGGCCGCCGAGGGCCGCCGAGAGGGCCCTGCCGGCCTCTTGGCGTCGTCGGTCCGGTGCGCGTCCCGGGAGCGCTGGAGCACCGAGGCCATGGTCGGCAGGAGCCCCGAGCGTTCCGCGGCCGCCTCCCGCCCTCCTGCATCCTCCCTCGTTCGAGCAGGGGGTGAAGCGTCCTGGCTCGTCTGTGGGGCCACCGAGCATTGCTCCTGGAACGTTTTGTGCTTCGCCCGAAAGGTTCTTCGAGCACATTTGGCTCAGATCGTCTTCTTGTAGCAGAGCGGGTCTTCCTGATGTTCTAACCATCTTTCTGGCTAGGAGAACAGGTCTTTTGTTCTTAGAGCATTTCGTGGTAGGCCCATAGGAATGCCAGGACGGTCGTTCCCTGCTCAGTTAATCCTCCCTCCTCCATCCTTCCCAGACTCCAGGCTCCTTCCAGGCGTGCTCGCGGCGTGCGCAACATCGGGGCGGGAGGTTCTCTCGCCTGGTTCGGCCTCGTGGGCCCCTGCCAGGCCCCTTGGGCGGTCAAGGAGGGACCGGGGATGAAGTGCCAGTCCTGGGGGCAAGGGCCAGGACTTCGGGGGACACTGTATTGCAACGCTCAGGACATCGTACGTCTGGACTCCCTTC